CTGGGAGTCCAAGAGGAAGAAGTAAACCTTGAGCCAAGATGTGATAGATGAATCATGGTTAATGATGTGAAAGAGGGCAGAACACTCCAGACAGAGGACTCAGCCAGTGCTCAGAGGACTCACTCAGAGGCAGGAGGGAGAAGGGTCCTCGGAGGACCTGAAGGAAGGAGCGGGCTGGAGTGCAGGGCCTCTCAGCAAAGGCATGGCCCCTCACAGGTGAATGCCAAGTAAATGTCTGGAGAACACCTGTGGCCCCACCAAGAGTTTAAAGAGCAAGATTTCTCCCAATATTCCTGATCCCACTCGATACAGCAGGCCTCGTTACCTTGGCAACCATGACCCAGTACCAAGCCAGGCCTAAGTAAGTGCTTCATGTACATCATCTCACTGCATGCTTACAAAGATTTTGTGAATTAGAGATTACTGTTCTCATTTTAGAGATGGGGACTGAGGCCAAAAGAGATTATTAAGTCTCTTAGGCAGGCTAGTACCTGGCAGGGCTAAGATTTAAGCCTGAGTCTCTCTGAAACTCCACATTGTGCTTCTGAGAACACCCCAACACTGTTCTCCGAGGTCCTAGGCGATGATTTAATAGCCACCTCAAATGGTGACTTACGAGTTTTCCCTGCAGGGCTAGGATGTGAACCCAGCTGGGTTGGCTCCAAAGTTCAGGCTCACAAACTCTCCACAGGGAGCGGCCATACTGTCTCCCTCCTCGACCACCTGCCTTCCTCCAAGCTTGATTCCACGGCCTCAGCCATGACATATGGCACCCTCTTGCCACAGAGAACTTATCCTCTGCTCCTGTCAACACGGGCCCTTTGAGGTCTGGGGTCTCTTCCTGGGATCCTTCCCCTCCTTTCTCCTCATGCAAATTGCCTGCTCCTGACATCCGACCTCGCATCACCTCACCCAACGATGACCCCCCCATCCATCCACACATCGGAATTGTGTGCTCCATCTACCGGGCTTCTATAAGTGCCATCTTTCTAGTCATTCATGTAACACCCAACAAACAGCCATTGAGCCCCTACTATGTGTGAGACACTATTGTAGGAGTTGGGCATACTACAGACAACAACACAGACAATCTCATTCATCTCATGGAACTTACTTAAGGAAACAGACAGTAAATAAGGGAAAAAGGTATATATAATAAAGGCATAATATAAAAGGCAGTGAAAAGGACTATGAAGAAACCTAATATAGCCTAAGCGAAGGAGGGTGTAACTGTGGAAAGGGAGTTGGGTGGCCTCTCAGAGGTGGAGACATCTTAGCAAGAGTTGATGAAAGCAAAAAACTATGGTTCTCTACAGGGTGTTGAACTCAAGACCGATTTGAGAGCACAGCTGGCCGGGGTGTCTGAGGAACAGCTGGGGAGCCAATGGCTGGAGCAGAGTGCAAGTCTTAGGAAGGACGAGGTCAGGGAGGAACCCAGGGGCAAGAACATGGAAAGGACCTTGACTTATTTCTAAATGCAACAGCAGCCACTGGAGGATCCCGAGCAGGGAAATGAACAATCTGACTGACACTGTTTGAAGCTCTCCAGCGGCTGGGCTGACACAAGGCAAGACCGGAAGGAAGGAAGCCACGGAGAGGCATTTGCAGGAGTGCGGGCAAAGGAGATGCCGGCTCGGACTCCAGGGCCGTCATGCAGGTGGTCGGGGAGGGGCGGATGCTGGATGGACTCTGAAGGTGGAACCAACCAGGTTTGCTCGTGACTTGATGTGGAGGGAGAGGAAAAGGAAAAGGGAAGCGTGGAGGATGACTGCCAGGTTTCTGGGCACCACTGCCCTGTGTGTTTCCCACATGTGCCTCTCCCACGGGGAATGTGAGCTCCTCAAGGCGGGGACAGTGTCCATCCACCTTGGCAACACTACACAGAATCAGGCCCACTAATGCTTGCCGAGTGAGTCATGAACTGTCCCCAAACAGCTTCTCTGCGCCTTCCTTTTGCCTCCATGGCCTTTGGGGAAGAGACGGGTCATCCTGTCCTAGCTGTTCGCTCAGCCTTCAAAGACTCCTTATCCTTCTACATCTGGTACGTACATCCAAAAAAACAATGGATCTGAACAATGAGATCAGACAACAAATTTGTCCCTGAAGCTAAGGCCCACAAGTGGCTCCTCTCCGCCCCCTCAGTTGCCTCTCAGACAGACACCCAGCCATCGAGAGGCGAGCACCGTGAAATTCAGTTGGGAGTGCCTTACAAGCCCAGGGAAATCCGGACTTTGCAGGGCCCTGGTGAGCTGGCTGGCATCGTTTCTGTTCAAAGCAGGCAGGAATGACTATCCCCTTTATAGAAACCGAGCCCTGGAAAGTGGCAGGAATATGTACAGGCAGGAATAAGTGCAGGGAGTGATGATGCGAGATGAGAATGACCCTTTCTCTCCATTTTCTTATGTAAAATTGTAAAAGAGGAAGTAAATCATGTTCAACGGAGTCAGATTCCAAATCAGATAGGCATCCCATCCAGACAACACACGTTCATCCCAGAGAAGCAGCCTCTAGGGCCATTGCTAACAATAGCTACCAAATAAAGAAGCCACAGTTTACTCTTCTCTGTCTTCCCCAGACTAACATCCCCTGGACGCTGTTGGCTCTATCTTCAAGATGTACCCAGGAAGTCATCCCTGATAACCCCTGGCTAGATTCCTGCCCTTTCTCTATGCCCATAACCCTCATTCCAGTCCCATGCTAAACTCTATCGTGCATTTAAATTATCTGTTTAATTATCTGTCCACCCTAAGGGAGATACATTAAAAAGAATGAAAGCTTAGGGGGCAGGGAAGGTGATGGGGAGACAGATAACATGCATGTCATCAACTTCACATCCCAGAGCCTTACACAGTGTCCAGCACAAAGTGGGAGTTCAGAGCAACTTGGCTGAATGGATGCATGGATGGCTGGATGCATGGAAGGAAGGAAAAACGGAGGAAAGGAGGGAGGAAAAAAAAGGAAAAAGTCTTGGCATTGTTACTGCTTCTTACTAGAAAGCTAGTAACCTTCTCTTGTTATCCCCTGCCTGCTCCTCTTGCCTTGGATCCATTATTCCACTCAATTTTGGTCTTTCATCTGCAAAGCAAATGTGTGGTGCCTCGCCTTAATCTGACATCAGTTTCTATCAAGGAGTTAACCAAGGAAGAATCGGGTCTGACTCCAGAATAGATGCATTTTAAACAGCAGTCCCTAACAATTCACTTGGATGAAGCACATTCTCCATTTACTCTTCCAGGGAACAATGAAGAGAAAAGGAAAATGAACAATTTATTTTCTTATTTAAATATGTCACAGAGATGAGCGAGCCAGATGATCAACGTCTTAGTCAACATCTCCCTCTTGGTCTGGGTAAGGGCTTAGAGAACCTCCAAGGCTGGCTGGCATCTACAGGTGCACCCAAGGTAGGTGATGCTCCAATCGTTCCTCCCCGGGGGATGGGACAGGTCCTGCCAGCCTAGGCCCCTCTCAGCTGCAGGTGATGCTGACCTGCTCAGGCCCAGGTCAGTGTGGCTGGGTTGGAGAACACATGCGCCTCACTCCTATCTCCACAAAGGAGTGAGTTCCCACTCCATACCACAGCGGGCAAAGTGTCATCACAGACACACATATTCTCCCAGTCTCACTCTGCCCTCATTCTCTCCCCATGCTGGGGTGGGCAGTGACTGTCTAAATAGTGAGTTTGGGGACAGAACTCAGTACACTCAGCTCAGCCCCACCTGCGTAGCACTTTCCCAAACTTGTCCGGCAGGCCGGAAGTTATCACCTTGTGCCCAGGAATGGGCGGGTGAGTCTCTCCCATTCAAAACTGATGTATTAACAAGCCAAGTTGCTTTCACATCCAAAGCCACATCCTCCTATCCGCTTTATCCATAATGAAGCTGACATTTCGATCTCTCCATTTGACACCCCTTGTGTTTTTTACGCAGTTGGTTCCACACCTGAGAGGGGAAGAAAGGCGTGGCGGGAGGGTGTAGAGGTGGAATTGGACAGATCAGTGTTCCCTGCCTGGTGTTCCCAGACCCCTACTGGTCTTCAAAGGCACTAACGAGAGTTCGTGAGCTATTTTCAATATTTCAAAGAGCCTAACAGAAACTGCATTTATCCACGGTCAAAATGCACTGACCAAATAAATGCCAAGTGTCTGCTTCAGGCTGGAACTTTTCCCAGTCAGTGAGGTCACACTGCCCTTTGTCCATTTTGATTGGTAGGACTGAGACGACAGCCTCCGGGAACCCCACAGGCTTGATAATTAAGGGATAGTGGGTTCCCCAGCCCCTCTGTTTTACTGCATGAGAAACTTTCGCCCGTTGGCAGGGCTGTCTGCTGCTTTGAAAAGGGAAACTGCAATGAGGTACAAAGTGGGGGAACTAGGGGGGTGGTCTGAACCTAAAGGAATAAGAATGAGACCCCCAAGAAGATGCCTTTTCCCAGGGCTAAATAACAGAACCACCCAAGTTAGGAGCATGAACCTCTCATGGCTTCAACTCAGACAATATACGGTGGAGAAAGGAAGCCCCGGGCCACAGGAGGAGGGGAAGGGGGCTGGAGTTCTGACACACAAGAGCAGAAAGGTGGAAAGGAGGGTCCGTATGTCTGCTTCTGCCTGCTGGACATGGCTTTGACCTCCTCAGTCTGGAGACAGGTCTGAAAGAAGCTGGGAACTCGGGTAAACTTGCTCCCACCTCCTTGGCAGGGTCTCCCTGTAACTGTTGCGGGGTGGGTGGGATCTGGGGAGAGAGCCGATCGGTGCCAACGGACCTGAAAACTGGCAGTTACATATGTCTTTTAGGAATAAACACAGGGGGAAGAATCCATGCCCCTCGTAATTAGTGCACTCCGCTGGAAACAGTGCCTTGAAACCTAAGTTTCTTGAGGGTAACTCAGTGAATGAACTCAGTGAACTGGGAAAGCATCCCCAGTCATCACAAAGCTGGGCTGTGTGGAGGGCAGGAGAGACATTTAGGAGCCTGGCCCCCTATCTTTCCTGGCAGTGTTGGCACTCGGAGGAGGGGGACCTCCCCTCTACTCATGATAGGTGGCTCAGAAGGCAGTTTTGCCACCAGCCCCCTCCTCTTCACCTTTCGTTGGGCCATGTCTTACCAGGGGCAGGGGCATTGAACTGAAAGAGAAACGTGTCCACCAGCCACCCCCTGTTCCACCTAAAAACGGGGGTTAGAGCAAGTCCATTATGCCCATGCCAAGAGCTGGCTGGGAAAGGGGACAGTGAGCGGGCTCTGTAGACCTTGTCCCAGCCCTAATTCTGCAAATGCTCCTGAGTGCTCAGTTCCCAAGGCTTACATTCACGGTGGGAGTGGAAACCACCACTGGGCTCAGCCCTGAGCCATGTTCTCCACCAAATGTACTAAAAGGTCTGTGCTTTGACGGGTATTCGGCACATGTCCAGCTCTTAATAAATGAACCAGAACTTTTCCTTCCATTCAGCTAGCTTTCTTTGCCCTTATACCCATCAGTGGGGACCCCAGAAGGGATGGGATGTCACTGGCAGGTGTTAGTGGCTTACGAGTTCAAACCCCTTCCAAGGCTCACTTTTACCCAACAGCTTCAGAGTCTTCACCACTTCCAGGGTGCCAACTTCTCAGTGATCTTCATCTTGGCCCTCCCCTTCCATCCCGGGCAGTAGAGCCACACCCCTCTCTCTCTCTGACGGAAGTGGGCACCACCAACTAGAGGAAGGCAAGAATGGATGCGGGAGGCCACACATTGCCACTGCTGCTGTCAGAGTGCTGGGTCCCACTCCAGTGGGACTCAAATGTCCAAGAGGTTGAAGCCCAAGCCACAGCGGCACGAGTGAGGATGTGGGAAGGCTAGAGAGCTATTCGGGAGGTAGGATCCACAAGATGTGATCAGCGAAAGGGAGTGGGTAGGAGTGCAATTCAAGGATGATTCCCAGGTTTCCGGTTTAGGAAGACGCATGGCTAGTGAAGATGGGACACAAAGGAGTGTGGGATGGTAAGATCGCTGGGAGTGGGATGGGGGGGACGAGGTAGGTGACAACAAAAAGGAAGAATTTTGTTCGTGGCATTACGACTCTGGGGCCGAGGATTGTGGGGGTGGTGTGTGGATCTGGAGTTCAGGGGCCAGGTCTTTACTGGAGACCTAAATGTGAGATGTAGGGATGATGAGCATTTGGAGAGTGGTGTTAAAGCCACAAGAAGGAATGAAATGTCGAATGAAAACGGAGGAGGGCTAAGGTCAAAGACCTGGAAGCACCAAAATGAAAGCAAATTTTAAGCGGGACGGAGCGATGAGCAGTGTGAGATGCCGAAGAAGAGGAAGGACAGGCGGAAGGTCAGGAGGCTGGCTGCGGCCAGACTGTGATAGGTCTAGAAGCCAAGAGAGATGCTTGGATTTGGGTAACAGGAAGTCATGCGGTGCCCTGGGCTGGAGCACTTCCCTGGGAGGGGGGAGGGTGAAAGCCAGATGACAGGCGCTGAGAAATGAATTGGCAGACACCCTCTCAGGAAGTATGGCTTGGAAAGGAAGGAGAGAGACAAGGTGACAGCCAAAAGGGGGTGCAAAGTCAAGAAAGGGGTGTTGTTTAGCGTGTTTGAAAGATGGAAACAAAGTGTGTTTGTGGGCTAATGGGAAGGAAACGCAAGGCAGGGACGGAAGAAAGAAATGAGGAGCAGGAACACCAGTTACAGCAGTGACTTTTTTGGGTAGCGCAGGGCACAGCGTCCTCAGTGCTCCCCTTCCCAAATTCAGCAGCAAGGTTCATGCAGTTGTTTCCTTTAGTGTCATTTTTTTTTTTTTAGGATGTAAGAAACAAGATTGTTTGGGAGAGTGAGTAGGTGAGGCTTCCCCACTAATGAGAATGGTCCCAAGACGGAGCCCTGGTTCTCAGTGAAACAGAGACAGAGACAAGATGCCCCAGGACTGAGCTGAGTGGGAGGCCAACAAAGACTGGACCAAGAGGAAAAGGAGGGGCAAGGTTGGGTCGGATTAACTTCTAGGTTCAAAATCTGAGGCCTGGGGACACAGGAGTGGGTCCAGCTACACACAAATCTACTCTTTACCACCGTACCTGATCTTAATCGCTCCTGATTGATCAGTTCATTTTTACTAAGGTATTAATGGCTAACACTTCAAAGTATTTAACTTTAACAATGGCTTTCAACTCAAAGATTTCAGCAACAACAGAATCTTCCTGAAACACAGGCTGATACAGATCAGCTATCTCATTGCTCTGCATCAAAAATGTCCCCTTGCCCCAGCCTCTCAGCAATCCTCACCTTGGGAAACCTGCCATAATCTGCTGCAGCAACAGAAAGCAGAAAGGAAAACCTCAGTGTCTTTGCTGCTCTAGAAAGCAGCTTCCACGGTGTCCAGTTTGAGCTGACAACCACTTGATGAGCATTCATTCACTCACTCATTCATTCAAATGACTGAGCATCTACCATGCTCCAAGCACTGTCTTATGTGCTGGAGACACAGGGGTGAATAAAAGAACCCAAACCCCTTGCCAGTGGGGCATGGACTTATGAGAACAAAGGGGCAGGAGAGATGCATGCTCAGAGCCAGACACTCTGCAAACATGGACTTTCATAGGCATGACTGTGAGGTCAGGCATTTTGCCTCTTTTTACTACTATGGTAACTGAGGCCCCTAATGAGCCAGGGTTTGCCCTGGGTTGGCCTTACTCCAAAGTTTGTGCTCAGAACGTGTGCGCCCTGGTGCTTCTCAGACTCTCTCCGGCACATGAATCACCTGCCATCTTGTTAAAACGCAGATTCTGATTCAATCGGTGGGCACTGAAGCCACAGATTCTGCATTTCTAAGAGGCTTCCCGGGAAGGTCTTAAACCGCATCCTGGAAACCAAGGACCCAGTGTTTCCCAAACTCATATGATCATGAAATCTTTTTCTCCAGGGCACTCATTTAATAGTCCTTACCTCACTTCCTAAATCCCAAGAACCGTTTAGCTGAGTGAATGAATAAATGAGTGTAAAAATGAATGAATGCACCTCTGGGCCCCCAGTGTCTCTGTACTTCCTGCCTTAGCATCCCTATTTGCATAACTGGTCGTTTGCCTCAGTATCCCTTCTGAGCCCCCTGACTCCTCACTGGGACTACAGGCTCTCTAAATGCCCCTCCGCTGCGGGCCGAGTCCCGCTCCAGCCCGGAACAAAGTAAAGTCGACACCCGGCCTCCTGGGCCCGTCCTCGGTTCCTTCCCAGCCTGCCCTGACCCCGCCCAGCTAACCCTCCCTCAGCCTGCCTGCAGCGCCTGTCCTAAAATGCCCGCCACTTCCCACCAACAGGCCCGAGGAAAATGGCATTTCAGTGCTTTGTGTCTAGTCTTCAGCGAGCATTAAATCCAGAATAATGGGAATTAGTACATGGAGGAAGCTGAGGATAAGACTCCCCTGAGTGCCCTCACCTAACAAATCAGGGGCTGGTAGAAGGACTTGGTGATTCAGGAGCTCCAAGCTGTCAAGCCAGTCCTTACAAACCGGCCTTTTGTTAAGTATGTTAAGCAGTTTAGAAATGTTAATGCAGGCTTTTCGGGGTAACAGGTCTTCCAGTCCCCGCTAGGGCCGCCTCATCTGCACAAATCTGGTCACCTCTGGGGTGCCACAGCCTCTGGGAACAGGTCCTAGATCCCTCTGGGCCAGGCTGAGAGTTAAAAGAGGGGGCAACGGAGTGAGAAGCCTGGTGGACAGGGCTGCAGATGGCAGCCCAGATGGTGAAGCCTCTGCTCCAAAGCCACCCAGGCCCCAAGGCCCTTCCTCTGTTCTTTCTTGGGTGTAGTCAAGAGCAGGGTCATTGGAAGCTGTGCCGAGGACCGTGGATGGCTGAAGGCCCGTCTCCTGGAACTTCACTTTCAGACCTGGGACGCAGTATACCTAAGAGGCTCCAGACACACTTAATGTGCGTGCACCATCATCACAGGAACTTGTTAGAGGGGCAGACTGCACACCCTGCTCCTAGATATGCGGATCCAGAAGATCAGGGGACTACACTTGTAACCAGGAAACGTGGATACCATGGCTAAGCCTGTGGACTCCAGAATCAGATTCAGTTTAAATCCAGGCTCTCCCCTCCCTAGCTGTGTGGTTCTTGGGCGAATAACTTAATCTCCTTAAATATCACTTTCCTCAACTGCAGAATGACTGACATTTTAGGAGTGTCTTAAGGTTTAAGGAGAGGAATGTGCAGCTCTCAGCACAAGTTTTGAGCGTCCCCTAAAAGGAGTGCTTCCATGACAACAATGACGGTGCTGATGGAGGGGGAACGCAAACCTGGCATTCCCCAAATGCAGCTTGCTGCATTAAGCCTGTGTCCAGGCCGCTCCCTCTGTCCAGGACCTCCTAGCCCATATTGTCCTCCTCCAAGGGATGCTTCCTCACTCTTGGAGAGCCTTCTTACACCCCTGGGTAAAGCCTTCCCTGCCAGCCTCAACCCTCCTTCTATTCAGTTCCCTTGGCCATCAGGAGTTTATAACTGTCCCTGGGGGAAGGCATTTGGTCTCAAATGGTTCTGGTATCCGTGACCCCCAACCCAGGGCCACTGCACTAGGCACTCAGTGGATGTTCACATGATCCAGCCCACTGCTCTTAAGCAGATGGAAGCAGCCAAAGGCCTTAAAAATCCTCCTTGCTGACGGAGCTGCTGGGCTGAGCCTGGCTAAAGGAAAGGCCATGGGCCTTCCTGGGGAAGGTGGGGGTGGAGGCAATAAGGTCAAAGGTCAAGAAGAGGCTCAAACTGATGGTAAGGCTGGGGGTAAAGAGAGGGAAGAGTCCTGGTGTCCAGAGAAGCAACAGAACTGGGGAAAATGAAGAGAGTAAGTGAAGGAGGTTGGAAAAGAGAGGAGAAGGGAGAGGCAGTACAACCAAAATACTGAGGGGCGTGCATGACTTGGATAAGGTAGAACATGGGGGGGGTCTCCCCACCAGACAGTATGATGAAATGGCCTGGGTCATCCCCAAGCAGGTAGATTTCCTGTTTTTGTTTTGTTTCTTGATGAAAGTTTTGTGATGTTCTCACTAAAGCAGGATTC